CATAAAGGTGCATCAGTGAAAGCAAGTAAGGCTGAAACAGTGAAAGAGAATGCTCAGACTTCTAATTCTCCTTGTCCTTGGTCGTCAGCCAATCAGAGCGCGCGTTATATATCAAAAAATTTATAAACTCTGATGCAAACACGGCAGTCGGCCAATCAGAACGCGCGTATTATTCAAGTTGTTTAATAGAATTGTTATCATGTAAGATATCTGTTTTGGTATTGCCCGTGAATAAGGCTCTATTAGGTGCTGTTACACTATACAATTTATTCAGAGACCTCGTACTTTTCATACACTGATGTTAGAAGTGTTGCCGAAACACAGTCTCAACAATCTGATTCATAATCGTATGAGGAAGTAGCTGATCCCATTAAAGAGTGCTCAATACACATAAAGTGTAGAGCTAGTTATATATATTTAATGAATATAATGAAATATTAAATACTGTCTGATGAGTGCGTTAAAACATTAGTTGGATGAATTATGTTGACACTTTTTCTTTTTCATTATTTCTCAGGTTGATGTAATTAATAAGATAATTCTAGTAAGTAGTGACTGCAGTAAAACCTCTGTTATACGGTCCCCTAGAGTAAAGACCAGATGACCACTTAATGGAAGTTGACCGCTAAATAGAGGGCCTTTAAATAAAACCTTGACTGTACTGACAACATTGCTTACCTTGAGTGGATTTCTGAGATCCGTGAAATACACTCTGATGTGCTACACCAGAAACCTATAAGGGACTTGAAACATGTAACGCCCGTACATTTCTTTAGTACCCAGCGCCGGAATATTCATAGCTCATTTAATTGTTAGGTGAAATCAGGAAATGAGATGCAAATTCGATTTGAATATTCCAGTGGTTGTCACGCCGTTACATGTTTCAAGTCCCATATAGGTTTCTGTCTACACTTTATTTACTCTTGGTGTATCATGATGAGTTTTGCAATTGTCTTTTGTTTTGCAGGCTTATTTAAACCACTTTAGTAATACCTAAAAGTTTTCTTTTTATTGTCTCGTTTTCCTTTTCTTAATTTATTAACCGACGACTTTGCTACAATTTGAGTATATCAGGTTCATAGTTCATGAAATCCATTGTATTGATATTTAATATTTGTCTGTTAACCAAGCAATATCATTTCAATTTCAAGGGAATGTTCCGTGGATTGGAAGACCATGAGGTAAGCTGTAACTATTGCTTATTACATTAGATCTGTAGATAGCTAGTATAAAAATATCAAAAGTTCACAGGTTTACAGGTAATCAAAAATGGCCGATAAGAGGACAAGTATGCCGATGAAAACAGAATTATATTAATGAATATTTAGATAATGATAAAGTGAAAATAAAGTTGAAAATCTCAACCACTACAGTGTGCAACTAACCTTCCTTTCGATGTCGATGTATTCTTATTTCTGCGTCACATTGATGTTATGACGTCACATTGATGTTATGACGTCACATTGATGTTATGACGTCACATTGATGTTATGACGTCGTATTGAGAATTTTGTATGTAAGGAACCCTCCCCATCAACCATTGCTAATGCTGGAAGACCATTTAAATATTATTTTGCTTGTTTCATTCTGATTGGATTTCGTTTATCTTGTGTTTTAGGGAATCGAGGTTGACAAATATGGCAGGGTAAGCTAAATGTAAATGCAGATACATAATGGTGCATCAGCGAAAGCAAGTAAGATCAGTAAAGTTGAAACAGTGAAAGAGAATGCTACAACTTTTTAAAAGCGTCAGTAATTAACAGCAGCCATAATCTTCCCTTTTGGAGGGTTCTAGTGCACCGACATCATTTTCCAATGTGATTGTCCGTCAGCTCTGTGCTAATTGGCACTGTCTGATAAATAATGACAATCAACCAACAGAGTTTTATTTTGGGTAATATAAAGTTCAGTTAAGGTTACAGTACACTGACAATCGGCAACAAACATAGATCTTCAGTTGTTCTAATGAGCTTGTAGCATTATTTTCCTGTATTACCGTGAATAAGGTCCTGTTAAAAGACCTCATACTCTTCATACACTGATTTAAAAAATGTTGCCGAGACTAGACGCACACTCAAAACAATCTCATTCATTTAAGCGTAGATTTCACTAGCGCATAAGCATAGCATAAGCACAAGCATGAGAGTCATATGCGCCAGTGAGAACGGGCTAAAAATAAGCATAGGACATTGGGCATGCGCACGAGCGTATTATTTCGGTATCAGGCTATGCTTATGCTTATGCAGTTCCGTTCTCACCGGGCATAAGCATGAGATAAGCATATCAAGAAAATCAAGCCTTGTTCGTTTTTCTTGTGCTCATGCTTATGCTTATTTTGAGCCCGTTCTCACTGCCGCATATGACTCTCGTGCTTCGTGCTTATGCCTATGCTTACGCGCTATTGAATTCCACGCTTTAGAGATTTTGCAATTTTATTGAACACTTGTGTACCTCAAGAAATGTTATCATAGAGAAATACTGTACTCTTCTTATTTATACAAACAATAGTTGGATGAATTATGSTGACACTTTTTCTTTTTATCATTTCTTAGCTTCATCTACCTGATACGATATCGAMAGTAAGTAATACACTCTGTTGTGCTACTTTAGTGTATCATAACTTAGTAATTACCCAATTGACCGATAACAAAACGAGTGCAGGGGACTAGGACTATTTTTTAAAGTGATACAATCTACCAAAATCTGTCTAGATACTAGATAAAATATATATAAGTTAGCTYAAGTTTAAAGTGAGCAAGTTTAAGTCATTAGAAATGGAAACATAATTTTTCAAAAATTACAAAAAAATATATGTTTGGTTGGACGCTTTGTTTGGACACCATACATTAATCTCTTTGTAATTTTGGCGTGGTTTGAATGTCCGTAACTACATTGCTATATATGTAATATATAAAATATGAGCGGGAGACCTTTATGTATAGTTT